GTAAACCTGGCAGAGTAGTTGAGCAGGTTAATGGGACAGTACATTTAAAATCTTTAGCATAAGGTCTTTAGCATAGTGCCTACAACAACAGTGGAAGCTTAGTTACTCTTCTGATCAATCTGGTTCCTCACTAAATATCAGAGTAAGGAAGCTAAGGTCTTTGTTGCATCCCAAGTTTGAGGGCTGGGGTGTGATAGGACAGTGAAGAACACCTGGGCAGCAGAGGGAGCCTGTTTCTAGAAATTCTGTTCCATTTCCATTCTGCTCTTGCCAAGGCACTCCCCACCCTGCCTGTGCCTCCAAACCCAGAGATCAGGACCCCAAGGGACAGTGCAATGATCATAGGCTTTAGGGTCGGGGACATCAGAGTTGACATCCCAGCAACACATGCTCACTAGTAATGTAGACTTGGCCAATTCACTTCTCTTGGTGAGCTTTGTTTTCCTCTGCTCTAAGTCAGGCTAATGATTCCTCTACATGTTCTACTGAAGAAGCAGAAATCAAACAGAAATGGAATTCTGTGTAAAAGAAAAAACTCTGATGAATAGAAGATAGTGGGCCTGTAAACTGTCTAACATGTAGAAGTAGGGACAAGATGCTCCTGGGTTCAGAGGGAGGAGAGAACAGCACTTAATGAAGAGGGAGAAAACTAAGAGCTGAGTTTGAGCAACAAGTAGAGTGCTAAAAGCTATCATTTAGTAAAAGGTCAGGAAATGCATTTTCCACCTTAAAAATAAGAAGCAAAAAGAACAACACAAGCTTTCTCAAACCCTGGAGACTGAATAAATCCAGCTGGTGGTGGAGCACCAGCTTGTTTTTTGTCTACAGGTCAAGTGAGGAACAATAGTTCCTTTGAGTCAGAAAGGTTGAGGGTGCCGACAGGATGGGGAGAGATGAAGGGAGCAGGACACAAGCAGGAGCATCCCATAGACCCAGCCTGGCAAGAGAAAAAAAGTAGGACTTTGGGGGCAGAAAGACACATATTTGAATTCCAGCTGCACAATTTATAAGCTATAATCACTTGAGTAAGTCATCTAAGCTCTCTTAGACCAAGTTTTCACATCTGCAAAATTGGTGATAATAACACCTACCTCAACTGGGGTAGTTGGGAAAATTAGATGAGAGAGTGCACATGAAATTTCAAATAATGTCTGGTACATAGTAGGGGCTTCCCTTTCACAGCACAGGAATAAGGAGAGTAGTAGAGCTGGCTCTGTCACTCACTAGGTGACTTTGGACCTCAGTTTCCTCATCTGTAAAATGGAGGTAATAGATAAGTGCTTTGCTCATTTATTGTGAAGAGTGAATGAGATGGTCTATTTAGAGTCAGTTAATTCTTTTTTTCTGTTGTATCATATTTCTTTATTCCTCTGCTGATGAACACTTAGTTTGTTTCCAATAGGACAAGTCAAAATGATATCATCATTGGGCCTCCCTGGTGGCGCAGCGGTTGAGCGCTGGGTTGCGAAGCTGCCCACGGCCTCTGCGGCGCCGGTTCAATCCCCGGCTGCTCCCCAGCCACCGGAGGAGGGTCCCACATGATGCGCAGACCCCTCCTGCCGCCCGCTGCTCCCCTCAACAGTGTACTTCGGTCCTTCTGCCTGCTCTGCTCCCCGCTCTGCTCCCCGCTCTGGCTCTGGTGAATTCTCTCACCCTCCCGCGCTTCTGACTGTACCCAGTGCATGTATAAACAAACAAATAAATAAATAAAAACATGCCTTTATTAAAAAAAAATGATATCATCATTGCAAGTCTCCTAATGCAACTATTTCTGTAAGGCACAAATTTGAAATGGAATTACTGAGTTATAGGGGATATACATTTTTAATTCAAATAGATATTGCCAAATTGCTCTACAAAGTTATATCAATTTATATTCTTACCAGCAGTATATGAAAGTATGCATACCCTATTACCAACCTTCTCATACTTCATGTGATCCATTTCTAGATTTTGCAATGCAATTGTTTAAGAAAGGATATGTCATTCTTATATTGCATTCTCTTGATTATTAGTAAGGCTGAGGAGATTTTTGTGTGTACTTTTGGGCTGACTACGTTTTTCTCGTATGTTTAAAAGTGTGTATGTGTGTATAGATGTAAATATCTATATCTATATCCATATATCGATATATTATGAATATACTTATATATTTTACAGTCAAATGATCTAGCACTGGTATACCCCAACATATATATTCTGGATATCACTAATGTCTCTATTTTATATATAGTTGATTTTCTATTACTTGCAGTAGTTGTTTACAAAGTCACTGAAAACACTTAATTACAGAATACTGACTCATTGCTCCTAGGGGAATCATAAAGTTAGGTTTCTATGAACCTTTGGTCACAAAATTTTTGTCAACTGATCAATGCATAATTTTGCTTTTTGCATGTATTTCTGGTGAAATACATATTATTGGTTAGTACATATTAGTACTAACGTAGTACATATTATTGGTTCATTAACATAGAAATCATAACTAACAGCACAATAACTTCTACTGTTATGTAACATGTGTTTTGTAACACATGTTTTCTCCACAAGCCACATCTCAGACTTGCACTTAAAACCACTGCAAAGTACTCCTGCACTGTATTTGGGGGCCATTTAAAACTATGATATTACCAATAAAAAGGGGGGGGGAAATCATGGATTAAATTTACCAAGAAAACGACAATTGTTCATAGTATAAGAACTGAAATAAGAAGGCAGAGCACAGCCTTGTTCACTCTCAGCCGAGAGCACGTGTCACCCAGCAACCTGGATTTTTTGCTGCTCTGCACATATCCACATGCACATATGACCTTGGAAACACTGGTTGTTGATTTTGAGGTTACAAATAAATTTTAGCAAGTAGGCAAATTTGCAAAAACGGAACCTGCAAATAATGAGAACTGTCTGCATGTGCATTTATATTAACATATCTATGTGTTCCTTGTTTTTCAATCTTATGTATTATTTGTTTTATATTATTCATATCTGATGTCAATTTGTATCTGAAGTAGGCTAATTTTCCCTTTTTTCCTTTCTTAAAAATTATTTTATTCATCTTCCTATTTTAGTCTATTTCTAAATTCTCTGTTCTAGGATTTCTCAATATCAGCATTATTGACATGTTGGGTCAGATGATTCTTTACTGTGGCATTCTGTCCTCTGTGTTGTAGGAGGTTTAAATAGCGTCCCTGCTCCATTCTATCTGCCAATTTCTGTGCCAATATCAAATTAACAAATTCTTACATCTTTTTAAAATGTTCTATTATCTGATAAGACAAGCCCCTCCTTTCTTTTCCAAAATTGTTTTGTTCACTCTTGTACCTTTACTATTCCAGACTAATTTCAGAATTAAACAAATCCCATGAACCATTTGTTGGGATTTTATTTACAGATTAATTCGGGAAGAGCTGAGTTGTCTATGATACTAAGTCCTTCTAGCCACACACACACCCTGCATCTCATATAGCACCATGTTGTTCTATGGTTTTCATTAACTTTCAGGATTTTTTTCTACAGAAGTTGAAGAAACCAGGCCAGTTCTGGGCTCAGCTTTTTTCATCTTTTCCTGACACTGACTCCCAGGGGAGCCAGATGAATCCTTGCACCTTCAAAAAACATCCCTCCTGCTTTGCACTGCCCAGCAACAGCAGGATTATTTGGTCATCAGGATCTGAGGGTTCTTGTGTTGTTTTTTGCACAAGTTGTTGTTAAGTTGAAAAACTAATCTTTTTTTTAAAGATTTATTTATTTATTTATACAAGCACTGGAGAGAATTCACCAGAGCCAGAGTGGGGAACAGAACAGGCAGACTGACGAAGTACACTGCTGAGGGGAACAGCGGGACGACAGGAGAGGTCTGTGTGGGACCCTCACCGGGTGAACCGGGGATCAAACTGGTGCTGCAGAGGCTGCGGGCAGCTTCGCAGCCCAGCGCTCAACTGCTGCGCCACCAGGGGAGGCCTGAAAAACTAATCTTTTACCAATGCTTATCATTCAGCCCTCTCTGTCTTTCCTTGAGGTTTAGCTACCACCGACCCTGAATTTCAGTTCTACCATTTATTAGCTGTGACATTTTGAGCAACTCACCTAAACTCTCTCAGCCTTGATTTTCTCATTTGTTAAATGAAGATAATAATTCCTTTTTTGAACGTTCTTATTTTTTTTTTTGCCAGTAAGGACTGGAACCTTCACAATATCTCGCAGGAGGTGCTAAAAATGTGTGCAATAAAGACTTGTGAAACAGCAACACATTTTTTTTTTTTTTTTGCCCCAGGATGCTCTAGATGGCCTATACTAATGAAGGGATGGGTAGCCCAAAACATCAGCTTATCAAAAAATATCTGCATTTGGGCCTCCCTGGTGGCACAAAGTTGTTAAACCTCAGCACTATGAAGCTACCAGCAGCCACTGCAGCACAAGTTCAATCCCCAGTAAGGGAGTTACCAACATGGCACAGCAGACCTCTCATGTCTCACCCGCTACTCCCCTCAGCAGTGTATCTCAGTAGATCCACCTGTTCTGATCCCCACTCTGTCTCTGGTTAACCCTCTTACTGCCTGCACCTCTGGCCTGTATCCCAGTTCTTGTATGCATAAATAAATAAATCTTTTTTTAAAATCTGTATTTACTTTCTGAATCAATTGAATTGCGGAGAGGGCAGCACATTTTTCTTATAATTCTATTTTGTTTAGGAGTGATATTAATACCAGTTTGCACTCCCCAAAGCTAAAATTAAAAGTGTCTTAGAAAATGCACAACATAGAGTAACCATTGTGTGACCAAAAAAATGCTGATTGCATCAAATTATTTTGGTAAACATTGAGCACATGAAGAGTTGGGGATGGAAATGTTCAGATCGTGAACCTCCTGAGAGACATGCTGCTGCTTTTGAGTATTCCGGGAACACTCAAGAGGCAAATGTTCCAGACATCACTTCTAAATATCTCCCTTCACTGAAGGTGCTAGACTGCTGAATACAAGTGGATCATGTGGCCTCTTACCTGCAGTCTGTAAGCTTAAACCAGGATCCAACTTTGTGTGGGGCTTTGAGCTGATGAACAGGTAACAAAGCACACAGGCAGTGACAATGAAGGCCAGGAGGACCACCGCTGCTATGGACAAGCCCACAAGAGCACCAATACTGGGGAAAGAAGACAAAAATGGAAATGAGTGTTAGGAAGGGAATAGGGAGACAGCATATCATACAAGTGTTGCAGGTGTTATAGGAATCAGCTGGCTTCGACTTTTTCTGCCTCTTCTTGCCTTCAACAGGCTTTCTGTGCCTAAACATGGGAAAGGCCATCGATTCTATGCCAAGCACTTGCCACACACATAGCCTAGTGTGGCTCAGCACCACCACCCAGTTGGAACTTGGTGTGCTCCCTTTCTTCATGTCTCCTTCCCTCCCTACTTTCTCCTTTTTATTTTTCAAGTTTCAGATATTTATTATTCAGTGTAAGCCTCAACACAATACACCAACATGATTTCATGCACTTAGAGGGGAAATATTTCCTAGTTAAAGGAAAATTGTGCAGATGACATGTGGAAGCCTTTCCTTTTAAAAAGCAGCTTTAGGGCCTCCCCGGTGGCGCAGCGGTTGAGCGCTGGGTTGCGAAGCTGCCGGCGACCTCTGCGGTGCTGGTTCGATCCCCGGCTGCTCCCCGGCCACCAGAGGAGGGTCCCACATGGCGCGCAGACCTCTCCTGCCGCCCGCTGCTCCCCTCAGCAGTGTACTTTGGTCCTTCTGCCTGCTCTGCTCCCTGCTCTGGCTCTGGTGAATTCTCTCACCCTCCCGCGCTTCTGACTGTACCCAGTGCATGTATAAACAAAGAAACAAACAAATAAATAAATAAAAAAACATGCCTCTATAAAAAAAAATAAATAAAAAGCAGCTTTATAGTGAAATATTTCATTTAGAAGTCTGGACCTTCTTTCTTCAGTTTGCTGTCATCTACATTCACTGAGTAGAACTTGTATTGATCATTGGGACCCAGTTTGTTCCAGGGTCCTGGGTTATTCTTTCTCTCTCAACAGACATCTGGATTGAAGAAAGCCAGGTGCATGACATACAGAGCTGCTCCAGCACCTCCAGCTCTGTAAATACAGAGGGGGATCAAGATTGGATGCCTCTTGGCTTGACGGAGGATCTAGCCAAGCATGGTTATGGGCGAGGCCATGGCATTGGGAGAGCATGGCATTGGGAGAGGCCAGGAAGGAGAGGAGAACAAATCTACAAGGCCCAGTCTAAGCCTTTCCCTGCCCTACTTACTTCGACCTGCTCCCACCCAAGTGAGAATATCTTAAAGAGCCCTCCCCACACTGCTGTTTCTGAAAACTAAAGACACATAGCAGACCTTTGTTAAAAAACAACTTTGGGGGGCCTCCCTGGTGGTGCAAGGGGTAAGGTGCAACCTATAAAGCTGTTCGCAGCCACTGTATAGCACGAGTTTGATCCCCAGCCAGGGAGATACACACATGGAGCAGAAGACCTCTCCTGACTCGCCTGCTAGTCCCCTCAGCAGTGTATTTCAGTCAGTCTGCCTGTTCTGTTCCCCACTGTCTCTGGTGAATCCTCTCACCTCCCGCACCTCTGACTTACACCCCTGTTGTTGTATGCATAAATAAATAAATCTTTTTAAAAAAAAAAACTGTCAGTCCAGTCTCAAGGTAATTTCTGACCCAACCTTCAGTGGGTCCTCATGCCAGTGTAGACTCCATATCTAGAATACTTCCTTGCCACTCGTCCCTCAACCTCAGCCCCACTGCCTCTGTCACAAGTCAGTCTTTGGTCACCTAGTCTCCAGACAGCAATACTTTGTTTCACTTGGGGCTCACTTTTTTTCCTGTTCCACCTAATGTTTCTCTATCATCTCCCCACATTGCAACTTTACCTGTCCTTGAAGGTTCATCTCAAATGTTTCCTTCTTTTTTTTTTTTTTTTAAAGATTTATTTATTTATTTATACAAGCACTGGGTACAGTCAGAAGCACGGGAAGGTGAGAGAATTCACCAGAGCCAGAGCGGGGAGCAGAGCAGGCAGAAGGACCGAAGTACACTGCTGAGGGGAGCAGCGGGCGTGGCAGGAGAGGTCTGTGTGCCATGTGGGACCCTCACCGGAGGTGGCGGCCGGGGATCAAACCGGCGTTGCAGAGGCTGCGGGCAGCTTAGCAGCCCAGCGCACCCTCAAATGTTTCTTCTCAATAGCACTTTTCTTGGTCATCTTTCTCCCTTTTTACTTCTCCCATGCCAGGTTAACTTGGCCAGGACACTTTACTCAGGGCCCTCTGCAGTTCCCACTTGGTGAGATCCCCAATGTGATAGGGAAAGAGCAAAGGACCTTGGGGCCATACCTACCAGCTCTGTACCTAACACACTGTGAGAGCTTGATGAAATTATTTATCCTTCTGAGACTCAGCGTCCTTGTCTGAAAAGTGAGAATGATCAAAACACAGTCCCTCACAGGTGGTAGTGAGGAGGAATGATATATGTAATACTCTTGTTACATAGGTACTCAACCTTCCTCGTGTGTTCTGAATACAGACTCAACCATGTTACATTGATTTTGTCTTCCCCTGTACAAGCACTGGCACTTGGTAAGTAGTTAGTAGATATTTCTTTTTTTAAAAAAGAAACATGATTTTTATCTCTTTTGAGATATTATTTATAGAGATACCTGTGTTCAGGTCCCCACCCTTCACAAGGGACATCTATGGGAACCTGTATAGAAAAGGGATCTCTAAAATTAGGGTCCTTTGAAGTGCTTGGGGGTAGATACCCTAACTCAGAGCTCAGTCAGGGAGTGGGCACCATGTCTGCTGGTCGGTCTGGGGACAGAGGAACCAGTTCCAAAGGACAGAGCAGGGAACAAGAAGGGAGATTCCAAGGGGAAGATCTGTGCATAGTATAGGAGGAACTTAAAATGATCCGAGGTGTCCCATGGTGGACATACTGTCCCAAGAAGTGGTAAATTCACTATTTCTGGGCAAGTTTGCCCATAATACCTGGATGAGGACATCTTTCAATGAAATTAAGAGATTCCTGCTTAGGGTGGGAAATTGGACTGAAGAGCTGCTAACCTTGTAGGATTTCACACATATATGATTCTGAAACATAGATACCCACCCACTGTGACTCTTAAGAAGAATTAGAGGAGCAGTTTAATCTTTGTTAGGGCTTTTGAGTCAAGCAGTTCTAAGTTTGAATCCTGGTTCTGCCGCACATGAGCTGAAAAATACTTGACCTCTTGATCTTCATTTTCTTCAATTATAAAGGTCCCTAGCTCACTAGGAACCTAACCTCAAAGATGAAAATAGTGTATGTACAGTGCCTGACCACCACCTCTTCCTTCTAGTAAGGCGGCTGCCTTTTTGTTTCTCTGGTGATGGAGAGTGTTTGGAAAGTGGACCTTACATGTGCTAAGACCAGCTGCTTCTCTACAGAATCTTTACTCTCTGAGATATGCTTTTAAGGACAGCAATTCTCCATAAGCACTATTCAAGTAAATAGTGTTTACATGGAGATTTTTGTTTTTAGTGTTGACTTTCATGAAAAGGACTAAATAAAATCTAGAGTAAAACAAGTTCTCTCCTCTGCAGTGGGGGGGCTCTGTCAGGAGTGTGCCAGAAGAGCTGTTTCAGTGTTTGCAGTACACTGATCACATAGATGTCCTAAGGACACTCAGCTCCCCTCCTCCACTTTGCAGTTGTCTGTGATGTTAAGACCAGTGTGATGTGCAAGCCCAGGGAAAGTCAGCTCTGCAGATTGAAACCTTTCAGCAACTCTTAGGGCCACAGAGTGGGAGCACATTGTCGGAAGTCCTCACTTAACAACATCGAAATATTCTTGGAAACTGCAACTTTAAGCAAAATGACCTATAATAAAAATGGGTCCTCAAATAATATCACTGGGATTTTTGGGATTTTTTTTCTTTCTCATCAACTAAACAACACAAAACAGAATGATCTTACTCAGGATCTGCTGTACAATGTGACTTCAGAGGTCACCCCATTCAACCTGCTACTTCATTGTCTGAGCTACTAAAGCACACCATTCTGGGAAATTGTTCATTCCAGGTAACAGGAGGGACTACAGGAGGGATAAGGAAAGGGAGTTGCAGTAGAAAGATGGGGATCTGGCTGGGTACTGAGATTATTCATCTGTGTATCCCCAAGGGCTAGCACAGTGCCCAGAAGAGAGTCAGGTTAAGGGTTTTTCAAATGCTCTGAGCAGAGCAAGTTATGAGAACCAGGTCAGATTTTAACAATTGTGCATCAGGACAAGCCTGGCCTTAGGTCCAGACAGGCTTGAGTTTTCATCCTAGTTCTGCCACTTCCTCTGGGATACTCCCGGGAAGTAATGTAACCTCTTTCAAATTTTCTGATCTGTGAAATGAAGAGGCAATGTTTCAAATGTCTGAATATATCTAGCCTGGATGGTCCTAGGTAATGTTTTTTAAATCTCAGTCTGCTATCATTTAGCTAGAAGATCTTGCATAATTCACTTTCATATCTAAGTTTCACTTTTTTCCACCTCTGAACCAGGGAAAGGAAACTCCCTTTTATTTTGTACCTGCTATATGCACTAGTCACTTTCATGCATTATTTCACATGACTATTCTTCACAGCTTTTATGAAACAGGTAGTACTATTGCCATTTTAAAGATGAAAAAAAGAGACTCAGAAATAATTTGCCCAAATTTGCATAGATAATAAATGACAGAACCAAGGTTTGGATTGGGCTCTAACCAGCCCCCAAGTTCCACACTGTCTCTAGATTTCAAAGAGAGGTTAACATTATTCTTTATACAACATATTATATATTGATTTCAGCACCCAGCTTAGTGCTAGGTATGCAACTGCTCTTCAACAATACTCTATTGTTATACCTTAGGTGCATGTCATATCACTCTGAACAGACTGAGTTCCTCAGTGGTAAGAAATAATTGATTTCTGTGCCCCGAGTGCCCAGCAAAGCACCTAGCAAAGCACAAGTAAAGGCTAGGATGAATGACTGACTGAATGAATGAATATATGGATGTATAGAGAAAAATTCATGTGATTCCCCAGGTTACAGATAGTAGCTGAAAATACAGTAGCTGAAAATCCAGCCATCTGAAAATCCTTTAGAATTATAGATTGAGCAATCTAGAAAAGCAATTATATCGGTAATTGTCAGTGGCATATGACAAATTGATTTCGCCTCTTTATCTCATTTGGTTCTAACCCTAGTCAGAAATTAGGGCAATGATTTATCATCATCACATATTATACATGAAAAGACAGACTCAGAGAAGTTTTAGTGGCAGACTATCTTTTCTTACCAAGAGGGCAGGCAGATCTTTAGGGACAGGAAAATCACTGTCCCTTTTTGCTGGTGCCTTTTTCCCAGAAATAGGCCGTAAATAAGGTACTATTATCTAGGTGAGGCTTTTGGAGACATAGAGAGATTGAAACCCATTGCCCTTACAACCTCACACTTAGGTTCCAGGAATGTTAGTGCTGACTTAACTACCACCTTCCTTAACAAGTGGGGAAACTGAGGTCACACAGGTGCAGATTCACTCAAAATCACACTTCTATAAATAAAGCCTGAGCTGGCTTCTGCTGTGGCATTATGCCATTGCCTCATGATAAAGAGAGGCAGCTCTAATCCCCAGGTCTTTTGCCTTAGCTCAAGAGTGGAGCATATCCCCAGCACTTGTCATGGGTCCTGGCATATGCTGAGTGCTCAGTAAAGAGTGGCTGAAAGAATGAGTAAATATGAGGCAAGGAAGAAAAAGTTGAGGCTGGGCTGAGGCTGGGGCTGATTTGGGGTGTAGCATCAGATGAAGGCTGAGTCTGGAGGCTCAGGTTTGGGTGTATGCTGAGATAATGCTTGGGGTCAGGATTAGGGAGGAGAGGTGAGAAGGGGTTTCAGGGAGGATTGTGAGGAAGTTTGGGCCTGGTGAGGTAGGGACTGGAATCAGCTGTGGGGATTGAGTAAAGATGAAGCTGGCCTTTGTATTAGAAAGGAACCTTATGGGCACTGGGATGAAGGTGGAGTTTAGGTTTCCTGGAAGATGGGAGTTGGCTCTTAGGTATGTAATTTGTTTGGAAGGCAGCTATGCTCACCACTATACCACCAACGCCGCACGGTATGTAATTTGTTTGGTATCTAATTTGGGGGATGGAGAGTGGGTAGAGGGTGACATTTTGGAGTGGGGTTGGGATGAAGAATTTTCAGGGTGAACTTGGGGGTGAAATTCAATCCTGAATAAATAATGGTTGGGGTCTGGATGGGAGACTGAAGCGAGGGGAAGTGGAGTGGTCCTGTCGTGACAGCAAAGGTTGGTTTGGGGCCTGAGCCAGTAAAGGCTTAATGGAGCTGGGTGCTTTGGGGTGGTTTGGATGAGGCTTGAGGGTTCAGCACACAGCAGGCTGAGAGTGGAGCGAGGGAGCTAAGACCAGAGTAAGGTTCTAGGTCGGGTTAGGGCCAGGGCCGGTACCTGAGCCACCACATGTAGCTGTGCTCATATGGGAAGAAGCTGTGCGGATCGTCGCAGCAGTACTTGTGGTCGCGGAAGCCACAGCAGAAGACAGCGGCCGCCTCTCCCCCCGGCCGCGGGCAGCTGAAGCCGCCCACCACCTCCTGCTCGGTGCTCACGTAGCTTGTGCAGGCGCCGCTCATCGCGCCCTGCGCAGGGCCAACCGCCACCTCGGGCCACCAGACGGCTGGCGAAGGGGAGGCTCGGGCGGCCGAGCTGAGTGGGACTAACGGAGGCAGAAAGACAGAGACAGAGAGATGGGCAGATAGAAGCAGAGAGACAGAGGGAGACACACAGAGACAGGCACCGCAGAGGCGCGGGGACGCAGCGGTTGCGGGACCCAGAGTCCCCGAGGACCGAGAGAGGCAGCCAGGTACGCGCACAGGGCTCGGCTAGAAGGGATGAGGAGGCGCAGGAGAGGGTGGGGGAGTGTCGGAGCCGTGGCAGTGGGCAGCGGCGGGCAGGGGGCGGGAGCGGACGCTGGGTCGCGGGGCGGAGGGCGACTTACGGAGCCGAGAGGAGGGAGCAGCCCAGGGGAGCCTCCTGGACATGCGTCTCTACTCGCGCTTCCCCCGCCCGCCCTCTGCCTTTCTACTTCAAGCAGAAGGGCGCTGGGCGCTCAGACAGGTAACACGAGGTGTCCAGGGTGGTAGAGCGGGAATCGAAGTCACGGGTGTGGACTTCACACCTGCACTGAGCACTGACCTTGCGCTGGACATTGTGCTGGATGCTGGGAATCAGAGCAGTTTCAAGCTAGCTCAGGGGACAGAGGAGTGACCAGCCTAAAGATCAGTATGGGCGTAACGAACACATTAAACCTGCACTATAACCCAGAGAACCGGAGTTTTTCAAACCCATTTTATAAATGAGAACTAAGGGTGTCTGGGTTAGTAAACCTGTGGAATTTTAACCTCGATTTATCTTGTTCCCAAGACCTTATTCTTTCTTTCTTTTTTTTTTTTATTTAGAAGTTTTTTTTTTTTTTAATTTGTTTGTTTTGTTTATTCATGCACTGGGTACAGTCAGAAGCGCGGGAGGGTGAGAGAATTCACCAGAGCCAGAGCGGGGAGCAGAGCAGGCAGAAGGACCGAAGTACACTGCTGAGGGGAGCAGCGGGCGGCAGGAGAGGTCTGCGCGCCATGTGGGACCCTCCTCTGGTGGCCGGGGAGCAGCCGGGGATCGAACCCTCGCTGCAGAGGCTGCGGGCAGCTTCGCAACCCAGCTCTCAACCGCTGCGCCACCGGGGAGGCCCGCCCTTATTCTTTCTGGGACTTAAACAGCACCTCTTTTCCAGTAGAATCTTAACTATCCTCATCCTCTGTCTTCCTTGCCTGTCTCTTCCTTTCTCTAAGCAGCTAACTCATGCACTGACATGTTCACATGCCTTGTTCACGCCCCCTGCCACACTGGCCTGGGACAAGGGGACTAGTACATGTCATAGAGGGTAACCCCCATCCACCAAGAAGCAAAGTCAGCACACTTCTTTCTCAGAAATTATTTCCAGCTCACTAGGATCAGAGGACCAACTCCAGTGTGAAGGAGTTGTATGTAGCCCTTCCAGATTGTGTGTCTTTTGAGTATAAATCCGGGAAGATGAGATTGAGAGGTATACTGCTTTACTTAATCACACTAAGTCAGGACTAGGGACTCCTGAGCTTTAATTGTTGATCATTCCCATTTAGCCAATCACAAGGTGTTGGGGTCTGAAAAGACCCCATGAGTCATATAATCAGTTATTGAGTCACAGCATGAAAAAAAAAAAAAAAGAATAGAGAAAGTGCACTGCAGTTAGTAAACTACTTTTTCATAAAATGTTACAGTTGTGTGTGTGTGTGTGTGTGTGTGTGTAGGTATGAATGGATTATGGATTAAGTTAGTATGCAAAATGAATAATTTACTATGAGTCAGGTCAAAAGGCTTGAAAACCATTGACTTTCTCCATTGTACAAATGGTTAGAGACTAGCTCAAGATTACAAAATCTTTAACTGCCTTTACTTTTTACAACAGTGGGTAAAATAGGGAGCCTTGGGATTCCCAATTCTTCCATCCCTTGTTTTGGGTGTATGGGGATAGACCACAGGCATCAATGGATCTGGACTCAAGCCCTAATTCAGCCTCTTCTCCACATTTCCCCCCTGTGCTTCAAGTTCATTTCATTTTCTAGATCAGCTGCTCAGATGCTAATGTGTGTCATGCCCTTGACCTGGGCATTTGAGCCCCTGAGAGGGATCAAATCTGGGTCTTCCCTTAAGAAATACATGGAATGATGGGGGAGTCAACTAGATGATCTCAGGACAAGGCAGTGAAAGGGTAAATGCAGGGACTATGGTTTCAGAGCGTACACTGTCTGAGGGAGCAGGGAACAGTTTTGAGAGGGTAGTGTCCTTAAGGGTTATCATATGCTTAAATATGAAAACAAAGGGAATTACTGTTACCCCTTCCCCCCACACACAATAACCTTTCCCCCTGAGTTGTGGATCTCTGCAAACAGGGAGTGTCTGGTGTGCTCTAATGGTACACTTTGGCCTCTTTATTAGATGGAAAGTAAAGGGGAGTGATGTAATCCTGTGAGAAGGAGAGAGGTCTCCTGGACACCTGGGGTTTAGTTGGGTTGTAAAAAAACACTCTTCTCTGGCTTTTGACAGAATTGGGAAGCTGCCAACAGTTTCCAAAGCCGTTTTTCAGCCCAGCAACCCCTTGGGGTGAGCCAAGAAAGGATGGGACCATCAGGCCTGAGAGAAGTAATCCTAATGTCACACAGCAATCAGTAGTCAGGCAGGACTGGTATCAAGGTGCAGGTCCTGTCTGGAGGTCTGATGAAGACTATAGACCCTTATTTAGGAGATTTTTGACTACAAAAAGTAAATTATTTAGGATTACAAAAACTATCAATTATATTGAATCAATATCAAAATATTTATTTTGTCTCTTTTAACATCTTAAGTAGTAAGATCTAGAGGCTGGTCTATTAACTCTTAAAATTTTGAGGTGGTGAATGCAAGTAAACAGTTTTTCAAGATAACACCACTGTAATGCAATATAGAAGTTTCTATGATTTTTACTGATGAAAAAGTCACAGGTGCTGCTACTAATACTGTGATTTATTGCTTAACTGCATGATAGAGGGAAATGCAAAATTTTGGTTAGAAGTTAGTAATAATAAAGATGCAACTTTTTCCTGTCCAAATTCATGTACTCCCCTTGAATGCTAACTCTGGCCCTCTGGACTCTATGCTAAACTTCTCTACCTCTTCTGGGCCTCCCTAGTGGCGCAGGGGGTTGAGCGCAGCCCTGTGAGGGCTGTCCCTGGCCTTTGTGATGCGAGTTCCATCCCCAGCCAGCCTGGAGCAATGCACATGGTATGGCAGACCTCTCCCGTCTCCCTCTGCCCCCCTCAGCAGTGTGTTTCGGTACATCTGCCTGTTCTGCTCCCTGCTCTCTCTGGTGACTCACCCCAACCCCATGACTCTGGCCTGTACACCACTTCTTAAATAAATAAATAAATAAATAAATAAATAAATAAATATTTAGAAAATTCTCTACCTCTTATGATCTACCTCTTACTTTAATGCTTATCTTTCATCATATGCATCATGTCCCTTGCAAGGTAAACTGAGACTGAAGGAGGACAAGCGATCTACCCAGAGCCACATAGCCGGTAACTGAGTAGAGTCATCTCTTTTTCATTTCTCCCCACCTAAGGTTTGGGGACCAGAGTTTGCAATAACAGAAGGCAAGGAGAGGAAAGGAAAGCAGGAAAGAGGGGAGGAGAGGTAGAGAACTCTACCTCTACAGAGAATACCCTGTAAACTAGAAATTGTGCTTGGTGCTGGGTGCTTTTCATTATCTCCTTTAATCCTCACAAAAATTCCATTCAGTATTGCTCTGTTAAAAAATAAATTAGGGCCTCCCTGGTGGCGCAGCGGTTGAGCGCTGGGTTGCGAAGCTGCCCGTAGCCTCTGCTGCGCCGGTTCGATCCCCGGCTGCTCCCCGGCCACCGGAGGAGAGTCCCACATGGCGCGCAGACCTCTCCTGCCGCCCGCTGCTCCCCTCAGCAGTGTACTTTGGTCCTTCTGCCTGCTCTGCTCCCCGCTCTGGCTCTGGTGAATTCTCTCACCCTCCCGCGCTTCTGACTGTACCCAGTGCTTGTATAAATAAATAAATCTTAAAAAAAAAAAAAAAAATACTGAGGGAAAGAGACTTTAAAAAAAAAAATAAAATAAAATAAATTAATCATTACATACATAGTCATTATAAAGCCACATATTTTTAGACAAGACCCCCAAAGTCTTTTGTCACAGAAAGTTATGCTTCTAATTAGCCTATTATGTTTTATGCAAAATATCTGTGGTTGTGAAAGGTATTGGAAATACTCTGTTTGTGGAACAGGGTTTTCCTCCCTGGCTGTGCATATGGCAGGTGAATTGAATTGGGCCTGCACATCCAAGAGAAGAGACCTAGAGGAGTTAAAAGATATCAGTAGTTTGTAACTATCTCCTAATGCTTCTTTTTAGTTGTTTTATGTTGCAGAAGTTCATGGTATACAGTTTCATGCAAAATTATTTCAATTATTTCAAAATTATTTCAGTTATTTCAGTGTTATTAAATAACATTATTTCAATGTTATTAAAAAGGTTTATCTTATTAGGGAGTAAAAATTTTTTTTTTAAAGCCAAATTAGAAAATACAGATAAAGCAAAATAAAAATTACCCATAATGTGAGCACACAGAAATATTTATTAATACTTTGGCAAAGAATCTTCCATATAAACATAAAAACAATTTTGTGCCTACTTTACCCATAGGAAAACTGGAGCCAGAGAGGTTAAGAAACTTTCCCAAGGACATACAAGTAATAAGTTCCAGTCTTCTAGTCATCTGCAATGTCACCGTAGGCCACTCTCTGCAGTAGGGCAGTAGTTAAGATAAATCTGTATTTCCAAGAGTTGAAAGGATCCTAGAGGCCATCTACTTCAACTCCCTGCTGCATCGTATTCAACCCTAGATTCAGGTTTTTAGACAAAATACAGACTGTTTTTAGACAAAATACCTGAAATTTGAATTTCAGGTAAACAACTCATCATTTTTTGATTTAAGTATGTCCCACGCAGTCCTCACTAATGCCAGGGACCAGTGTGGCTTCAGGACTTCCCCGGGAGA